AATTTCAACTGACCTGATAATTTAAACAAATTGAAGAAAGATTTCTATAGGGACCGTAATTATACAAATTTTCCCTTCTAAAATATTGCTCCTCCAGTTGTTAATTACGATATTGTTTCTATATTACTGTTGCTTTTTTGGAATCTTATATAATCATTATTTATTAAATAATAAAATCTTACTAAAGTCATAATAATTATCTAATGTGACATAATTGTTCATATGACATATGCTTTCAAGTAGATATTAGAAAAAAAATAATATAAGAAAATATTACTGAAGACAATAGCTGTATGGGCTGAGTCCTTTTGCCTTTCCCTAAAAAGGGAAAAACCGAACCAAAAAAAAATAAACTCTATGACTATGCCATAGTGAAATATGATAACCATTACAAATACCACCTTTTTACTGAGTATTCCGAAATCACCTAGATTCGAATTTCAGACTATTTCTAATATTATTGAAGTAGTGTATTAAGCAGTTAGAGCTTTTTTAATTTATTTTATTAAAAGAAGTTTATTAAATGCTTTTTACATTATGCTAGAAGTATCATAGTTTGTAGGTAAGGATTACTAAAAATCTAATCTAATTGATTATTATAATATATTAATTTAAATTTATTACTAGTATTTACATAACCTAATTTAATTATTATAAAAAGTAAAGTTACTTCTGTTAACGCCACTGAATATCATTGTAGCTTGCTGCGCACATCATGGTCCATGGTGCTTTTATAATAATATTATGTCAACCATTATTGTAACACTGGAATGCAAATGAATAAATAAATAAATCAATAAAGTATTGTTTGTAACACTTTTTTGTACAGTAAAATATTTCTAAAATATAACAGAATACAATGATCTTAAAAAAATATATAACTGATCCCAAATGAGGGATTTCTTCTTCTTAAATGACTCTATCATTCTACGTACATATTATTTTGAAAATTGATGACGCTGATCATATTAAAACTTTTTCATATTCAAAAAGATCATATTAAAAATTAAAAACCCATCGGAAAGAAAGGTCTGTCATTTCATATAAATACATATATTTTTTTAATACATTTAGTACATATTTGTCTGTAAGAGTTTGCTTTAAGCGATAAGGCCGCCTTTTGTTTGCATATCATTCTTTTTTTTATTTCCTTTTTGTAATTATTTGTTTCTTTTATGCACAATAAAGAGTTTATATATTCATTATTTTTTTTTTCCAAATATTCTCATCTCCCTTCTTAAGGAGAGGAGATGGCAACATACCCCCGGTAGAAGCACAGTCGGCCGGGGTTCAGGGCCCCAGGGAGAGAAAACGGCGTACAATGCGGGCAGAATCTAACAGCACCGCTTTCTGCATCTTTCCCGGGAGATCCCGCCTCGGAATCCCAACCGTCTGAGATGTTGCTCCAGACTGGTTGGGATAAGACCGTTCACCGACATAACGATTGGAATGATTATTATTATTATTATACATAGAAAGCACTCAGATCGATACAAACAATCATACTCATGAGTACAAGTGTCTGTATTGTATCGGAATCGAACCAGCGACCATCGTAAAGTAAGCGGTATGCTAAATCTCTGACCACCTAGGCTGTCACTTCACTATAATGTACATAAAAGAATAATTTCCGTTCCTAGTAGTTTGTTTAATATAAGCATTCCGTTTAGCTTTTATTTATGTTAATTGTGACCTTACTTCACATTCGTCTTGGAGTAATAAATTGTTTTACTGCTGCTGGCGTGAACGTGTATTTTAAAACTAACTATAGTTAGTTTTCCACAATTTTTTTAATTTAACACAAAAGTTAATTAGTTTTAATTTAATTTTCTGAAATAATATTTGCCTAACGTACTCCGTATAACATCAGCTACCTGCCAATAAAAGTCCCGTCAAAATCGGTCCAACAATTTCCGAGATTAGCCGGAACAAACAGACAGACACACAAAAATTGTAAAAAAAAATGTATACGGTTTAGCCTAACGTACTCTGTATTACACCAGCTACCTGCCAATAAAAGTCCCGTCTAAATCGGTCCAAAAATTTCCGAGATTAGCCGGAATAAACAGACAGACACACAAAAATTGAAAAAAAAAATGTATACGGTTTAGCCTAACGTACTCCGTATTACATCAGCTACCTGCCAATAAAAGTCCCGTCAAAATCGGTCCAAAATTTCCGAGATTAGGAACGAACAGACAGACACACAAAAATTGTAAAAAAAATGTATACGGTTTAGCCTAACGTACTCCGTATTACACCAGCTACCTGCCAATAAAAGTCCCGTCAAAATCGATCAAACAATTTCCGAGATTAGGAACGAACAGACAGACACACAAAAATTGTGAAAAAAAATGTATACGGTTTAGCCTAACGTACTTCGTATTACACCAGCTACCTGCCAATAAAAGTCCCGTCAAAATCGATCAAACAATTTCCGAGATTAGGAACGAACAGACAGACATACAAAAATTGTAAAAAAAAATGTATACGATTTAGCCTAACGTACTCCGTATTACACCAGCTACCTGCCAATAAAAGTCCCGTCAAAATCGATCAAACAATTTCCGAGATTAGGAACGAACAGACAGACATACAAAAATTGTAAAAAAAAATGTATACGATTTAGCCTAACGTACTCCGTATTACACCAGCTACCTGCCAATAAAAGTCCCGGCAAAATCGGTCCAACAATTTCCGAGAGAACAAACAGACAGACACACAAAAATTTAAAAATTAAATGTATACGGTATACGGTAAAATACGCTGTATTTATATTCATATGCATGTAGTAAAAAACGGTAACCGTTTTTTACTACATGCATATGAATATATTTTTCAAACACTGGACACTCCAATTTTAATTATAAGTATAGATGTATGCATACATCTATACTTATAATTAGAGCATCTATACTTACAGAGCGAGCCTTCGAGGTTCGTACAACGTGGCTTTTAGGGCCTTGAGCGAGTGCAACAGTTAATAGGTTGTCACTAATACTTTAATAGGTTATTCTGCAGTTCCCGTTTACCGATGCACCGCTGTCACTCACGTAGCGTTTCTTCTCCATTAGTTACCTAATGGCTCCTTTGCTGACGACCGACCTACATTTCAGTTCGTTGTCATAGTCTAAATTAATATTCTCTTCAAATAATGCTTTATATAACCTAACTAGCCAACTTCGTCTGATTCACATTTTCCACTTTTTTGCAACATTTTCCATTGTAGCCCGGCTCCTAGTAGTGTGATGTATTTATTTGATGGCTTCGTTGGTATTGCGGTATAGCACAGTTCCGTAGTTCCGACGGTAGTGGGTTCTATCTTATTTATTATTGTACAAAAATCTGAACGGTACTAGATCTGGATCCTACAAGTAAATAAAATACAAGGATTGTAGTGAACTGTGTATATTCCGTAATATGAATATCATATTTTGCATCGTGCAAATATTTGTATTCTTAAGTATTCAAATTCAAAAATCATTTATTAATGTAGGACATTTTAGTATCTAAATTTTGAACGTAATTTTTTTTTATATTATAATTTTACCCTACCGTCCTATATATTCGTTCTATTAACGTTTTAATAATAATAATAATAATCTCAGGACAATTCACACAACGCCATCTAGTCCCAAATTAAGCTAGCTAAAGCTTGTGTTATGTGTACTAGGTAACTGATACAAATACATAGATAATTTTTTTCGTATATACAAAAAACACCCAGACCGATACAAATGTTTGTGTCGAGCGAGGAATCGAACCGGCGACTATCGGACGTAAAGCGGTGTGCTAGACCGTTAGGTCGTTTATAATGGTATGTGATTCTCTTTCTATATATATAACATATTATACTCATATGAGTTAGTGATGTAAAAAGTATGTTTAGCTTGGAATTATTTAGGATGGGCCTGTGTGAATTGTCCTAAGATGCAAAAAATACGGTAATATTAAAAAAAATCAATTCAAATATTGAGGCTGAATTGAATTATTTTAAATATATAGTTATTTATATGGTTGTAAATACCGTAACATTAACAGAGTTAAAATTCAAAGCCACAATATCTACAACAATATTACCCGATTGAACATGTAATAAAATGAGCTCAAACTGCATTCGAATAGGAAATCCAATGTTACAGCATCACGTAGCCTATGAAACGGTGTGTCCAGTTGATCTGTACACGTGTTTATAACATTATCAAGTGCCGGTAAGTGGCGTTTGCACTGTAAACACGGACAGTAACTGTAGCTAATATTAAGTGGACTCTATAAAGGCCTGAGGTTTAATATTTCCAGCGAACTGGAATTATACTATTGCGAAATTTGATTAAATGGATCATTCATTTAGGTACTTGGCTTTGACATCCTATTTGTATAAATATTGGTATGTAATTCAAGAGGTGTAATGCGTATGCATTACACCTCTTGAATTACATACCAACAACAATAGTATGCAAGCGGTATATAATTGGACTAGTATAGACATACATTAACTAATATTGTGATATATTTAAATGTTTTACTTATTTTTTATATTATTCACATTCACGGCAATTTTTATGATATTGACAGCCCTGGTGGTGTAGTGGTTTAGTACACCGCTTTACATCCGACGGTTGCAGGTTCAATTCCTCATACGGTGCAAACATTTGTATTCGTGAGTATGATTTTTTGTATCGGTCTGGGCGTTTTCTACGTATTTATAAAAAAAATGTCTAAGTATTTATATCAGTTGTCTAGCACCTATGACACGAGATCTGCTTACCGTGGGACTAGATGGCGCTGTGTAAATTATCCAGGGGTTATTTATTAATTAACTATGAGAAAGAGTATGACGGATAACCATGAAACATTCCACTGCACTGACTCCACTGACAAGAGTGTTACTTCGAAATCATAAATAAATGTAGGCGACAAAAAATATGAACAGATTAATATAACATATATTTATTATTATTATTATTTATTATATATTAAATTAGTACATAATACAACGTAATACTTCATATTACACTACATATAAGTTTGCCGCTCACATAACAATGTTATGATCTCAATACAAAATCGATTGTAAATGGTTTAGGTCCCGATATAAGACCAATAATTGGATCATCTGATGGAAGTACGCCATTGCTGCAAACGATCTTATATTTTTGTAGTATACCCACAAACATAATGAAAATAAATGACTTTGCCAATGAGTCACCTGGGCAGCGTCTGCGACCTGAAAGTAAGGAAAATTATGTAAAACAGCTGGTTTTATATAATTGGTGGCTGATATTATATTATATCTTATAATTGGTGGACTTATCCCTAGAAGAGATCTCTTCTAGGGATAAGTCCACCTTTGCACATATTGTCTCTAAATTATAATATCTTTATATTATCTGTGCAATAAAGAATATTGAATAAAACTCTCGTGTCACAATGTTAGTTACCATACTCCTCTGAAACGGTTTGGCCAATTTTTATGAAATTTTATATGCATATTCAGTAGATTTGAGAATCGGCTACTATCTTTCTAACATACCCCTAAGTGATAAGGGTCGTCCACCCCTAACATATATTTTTTTTTGGGCAAAATTTATTATTTACATTTTTTTATGTGTCATTAAAAAATACATACCTACAACCCTAAATTTTGACCCTACTATCACCAATGCCTAATTTTTTATAGCGTTATTAATTTAGATGGCAAAACAATGTTTGCCGGGACAGCTAGTAATGATATATGTAATATAATATCATATACTATATTGAGAACATTTTATTGAATAAGTGTTACTATTCTGTCGATACTATTATAACGATGACCAAAAAGACTACCTTTAGCACTATGCTAGCTGACATAACGACATTTACTGCATAAAAAGCTGTTATGTTAAGAGCTTCACTGGACAATAAGGGGCGAGTGCAGATGGCACTGCAAACCCGCGGAAGGACTTATAGAACAACTAGCTGTCCCGGCAAACTAACTTATTATTCAGTTCGACTATTTATTAATAAGATATATAATAAACATCAATAAATAAACTTACCTATTATTCAGTTCGACTATTTATTAATAAAAGATATAATAAAAAACAATAAATAAACTCTCTTATTATTCAGTTCGACTATTTAGTAATAAATACTCAAACTGAATAATAAGTGAGTTTATTTATTGAAGTTTAATATATGTTATTGATAAAGGAAAACCGCATATTATGAAATAATGACTTTTATTTATTAATTTTATTTGCTTTATTGAGAGATATAATAAACTTCAATAATTAAACTCTCTTATTATTCAGTTCGACTATTTATTTGTATACGATAAGAGATATCGTTCTATAATGAAAATAATTTAACGGCTGGCATTTTCAATCGAGAGTTTATTATAGCTAATCAGTTTTGTATTAATTTTGCTACAAAATATGTGTAATATTAAACTTCAACGAAATACACTTGTGGTATAACCACATGAACACAAACATAATGTTGGAAGGGTTTTTTTGGTTAATAATATATTATCAAGGTGTAAAAGATAAGAAAATCATTTCAAATAAACTTAATTTAAGCACTTTTGAATAGTCATAACAATTTGTTTTTTATGTACCACTCGTTCGGAAAGCTGTCTCATCACAAGAAGAACGAGCAAGAAACTTGTGAGTTGCTCTTTTAAATAATCCTTATAAGTTTACATTTACAAGTCGAAACGTGTGAATACAAACTACCAACAAGCACTAATTTTTGGGTCAAATATAAATATGCAATAAGATTAAATCAGTCGTAGTGATAAAATTGGTATATATCAAGAAAGTATTGGATAAACTAAAATCTTAATAAATTATTTATTTCTTTTATTGCTTAGTTATTAAAACTTTCTTACATAATGATTATTTCCTTCTTAGATGCATATGGCGGACTTAATACGTTGAGGCATTTTCTCCCAGTTATTATTTAATGAATTTTGTACTGTTGTTTCTTTATATAATTAAGTTGACAAGTCGTCATATTTTTTTTACAATACAATTCATATTTTTAATAATAGTGATATAACTAAATAAATGTTCTATTAGAATGTTACTTTGTTACAAATAAAGAAAATAGTGCCAAGCGAAGTATCCTATGCGTTCAAGTTATTTTCTTCACTGAACGGTTCAGTTTAGTTGTTGTAGAGCTGAGAATTTATATTTATATCCCATGTTGCGTTTAGATACTATAAACTTTTTTGTTTGTTTTGTACTGTTTGTGTATTTTAAGAGTTTTAAGAGTAAAACGTGAATATCTGTGAATTCTTAAAAGAAGCTACATTATATGTAGTTTTTAAGAACAGTACAAATTGATGAATCACTTGTTATACAGTATGAAATAATCAGAATTGTATTGCGTTAGTATTTGCATGGCCTCGGTAGTCTAGCGGTTTAGTACACCGCTTTACTTCCGATGATCGCGGGTTTGAGTCTGCGCACGGTAAAAACATTATTCTTATGATTGTTTATATCTATCTCGATATTTTCTATGTTTATAACATTTTTTTTACAATTCACACAGTGCCATCTAGACCCAAATTAAGCCACCGAAAGCTTGTGTTGTGGGTACTAGACAACTGATACAAACACATAGATCATACTCATGAATACAAATATTTGTGCCGTGCGAGGAATCGAACCCGCGACCATCGGAAGTAAGGGGGTGTGCTAAACCACTAGACCAACGAGGCCGTAAATTATTAAAAGTATTATTAAAATAATATATTTATGTTTAGTACCTATAAAACAAGCTCCACTTAGCTTGGGACTAGATAGCGCTGTGTGAATTGTCTTAAGATATTATTATTACAATACAGATAATATATTTAACGCCAGCGATTCATTTTTTGTTATGTATTTTTTTTTGTATAACGCAGGGGACAAATGAGCATGCGGCTCACCTGATGGTAAGCGATTACCGCTGCACATGAGCACTCGCAACACCAGGGAAATGCAAGTACGTTGTCGGCCTTTTAAAAAGGAATAAGCTCTTTTCTTAAAGGTTTCAATATCGTATCGGTTCGGAAATACCATTGCTGGTATGTTGTATTTACTCTTAATCGTAAAAGTAAATAAAAACATTGAATTCTTAAAACTGTAAAAATGAGAAAAGGGCGTAAACTATATATAGTTATAGGAGTTATATACACACAAACATAGTATAAATAGGATCATATTACAGCGCGTTGCATTTCCCTAGCGTAGTTGTAATTTTATTATCTACTTCATCCGATATTATCACTCCGGAGATTTATTCGCGATATTATATGTCATACCACGGAACAAGCACTAATGATAGCCGTACTATATAAATATACCTTTTACATAAAAAACTATTTCGTTTTTAGAAACTACAAACTGCTCTCAATACAATACACAGCTTACAAAATTTGTAATTTTATTATCTACTTCATCCGAGATTATGACTCCGGAATTTTATTTGCGATATTATATGTCATACTGCGGAACAAGTATGAATGGTAGTCGTACTAATACGAACATACTACCTTTTACATAACAGTGACATAGTTTTTAAAAATTACAAACTGCTTCAACACCTAGAAATTCCACTGTCGTGTCCTCTCAATACAATACACAGCTTACAAAATTTGTAATTTTATTATCTACTTCATCCGAGATAATGACTCCGAAGTTTTATTTATGATATTATAGACATCAAGCACTAATACTACCTTTTATATAACCGTGAAATAGTTTATAAAAACTGTTAAATATCCCACTTTGAATGTTGTCTAAATATTATAATTATTATCAATTTGTTAATTGTAATAATATAAACATAACTGTTTAGTTTTGTTCCGTTGCCTGTACTCTCAGTCTTAATCATATTAAAAAAGTGAAATAACTTTGGCGCCAAAATACTGACAAAAAATAAAAAAGAAATGTTATAGAGATTGAAGGGGGCTATAGAGCAAATATATATATATTGTCATATTTATTATAACAGTTTTGAAGCGATGTAATGGTTGGAAGTGCATGTATAATTAAAGATATTGTATGTTTAGTGATTGCACTTTTCATTGTTACTATAAACAAAAACTTAATACAAACTGCTTCAATACCTAGAAATTCTGCTGTCGTGTCTCACATCTCAATCCAATACACAGCTTACAAAGCATGATTGGCGGCTGAAATAGGTTAGATATACCCTAGACCTTAGCACGACTTAGACGACCTTGTACATAGACAACCTCAGTAAATTATATTCTGCGGAATGCTAAATTGGCAGTTGATTTTACACTGTCAGTGGATTAACCTCAAATGTCGAATACATGTCAATAACAGTGTCTGTCTGTATCTAGATATGTACAGCCAATCAGGCTTGTCACGGTATCCCTTAACATCATCTCTCCATTAATTCAGACGGAACCTGAAGACTAATTGATTGAAGGTGACCTTTAACGTAGGCATATCACATATCAAAGCCGATTAATAATTCTAGGTATCTAATTCTGATAGACTCTAACATTAGCTGCCTTTACACGTACGCTCATTCGCACGCGATTAGGGTTTTACGCAATAAAGAACCGCGCGCACCGAAATGCGCTAAGCCGTGTTTTAGCGCCATTTTAAATAACTGATTGTCATTCCAAAATGGCGGACTTTTTTTAAGGATGTTAATGGAATTACGTACTCGTCTGCTACTACTGTACTACTACTGTAATGGTTTACGCTGGCGGAATGATGGCCAGTGAAGAATGATGATGAACATGAGGTTATGTCAGTTTGTCCATCGTGATTAAATAACCAGATTATAACCATCGTAACCGCATGAAAGTCGACCTAACATAGTATATTAATAGTAATGGGGACACTAGACCGCATTATTAACAATCTACTTTCTCCCCAATGGCGGCCATTTGACTATGAAGCAAAAACATAATTATAGAGTGATGGAAAATTTATTAATCTTAAACTAGTCTATTGAAAATTAAAATTAAACGTTAAAAGAAAGTATATTTATAAGTAATGTATAAACAGACATAGTATTATGCAAATAAATAATAAAATATTCAGAATTTGTTAATACCTGCCTTTACATGACTTATGATGATCACGCGCTATCATTAGCGCGCGCGATTCAATTGTTTTGGCTCATTCTATTACACGTGTTTGCGGAAGTCATTTTCATAAATCACGTAAACACGTGTGAAAGAATGAGCAAAAACAATTGTTGAAAGTAATCATAATGATTGCGCGCGCTGGTTACCGCGTGCGCTCAAGATCGCGCATGAAAGAATGTGTCATGTAAAAGCATCTATTAACCGATTTTAAATAATAATAATATCTCAGGATAATTCATACAGCGCCATCTAGTCCCAACTTAAGCAGAGCTTGTGTTATGGGTACTAGACAACTGATATAAATACATGGATACTTTTTTTTTGTAAATAAATACATATTATATATAGAAAACACCCAGACCGATACAAACAATCATACTCATGAATACAAATGTTTGTACCGTGCGAGGAATCGAACCCACGACCATCGGATAGTAAAGCGGAACCACTAGACCACCGAGGCTGTCAAAATGTCTTATTATTTATTTCAATAATATGTCTAATGATACATTACTTAGAAATATATTAATCTGTTTACTTGCATATAAAATTCTTGGGAAACAATGCTAGTTACCATACTCCGAAGCGGATTGAAACTTGGCAGATTTTTATGAAGTTTTATATGAAAATTCAGTAGGTGTGAGAATCAGATACTAATTATTTTTCATACTCATAAGTGATTAACAAGTAAAGGTTGGACAACACTTAACTAACTTAATAATTTTTTTTTGATTAATTTTCTTTTGATAATGTGGCATTAAAAAATACATACAACACAAAACTTTCAACCATTTATCACCAACCTTTATTTCTTAATCAGACTTTTGATTTTTTTTGTCAATTCGGTTTATGTCAGTTGAGTTTCAAGTTAATGTGCTTCAGAATAAAGTCTACTTTCGCTAATCAATTAACTTTTCAGCATCTCATTCGTAAACAGAAACAGTAGCTATATCAATAGGAAACTGTAAGCTATCTAATCACAATAGACACCTATTAGCGCTACGTCAAAACCTAATTAGTGAGCATCCTAACTAATTTCGATTATAGGCTATATCTGTGCATATAAGGAATCTATTACGATATCATTGTATATAATTAATTAAACGTCATGACTTGACTACCAATATTATTGTGTATTGGCAATTTACTATTATTAACACAAACAATAACGTTCAATTTGTAGACGTGTACCTAACTGCATTATAATACTAGCTATACCAGCGGTTTTACTCGCATGAAATTTGTTATTCTGGACAAGCTGTATTACAGCAGTTTCATCAAATGCTTTTTTATGTATTACATAGCTGGCAAAGAAGCATACGGCTCATCTGATGGTAAACAGTTACCGTAGCCTAATGCCTGAAACACCAGGGGTGTCACATGCCCGTTGCCGACCCTTCAGAAACCTTAATATACCCTTTTTTTTATTATTATTAACCGGGTCTTAACACGAAAAGTTTTATGGCAAATAAAGGTATTTATCGAAACGTCGAGACAGGTGTATTTGCCATAAAATTATTCGTGTTCAGACCCGGTTATTAATTTAAATAATGTATATTAAACACGAAAGTTTAAAATTAACTTAATATACCCTTCTAGAAAAAATATTCTCTTATTATCCGTTCAGTAACTTTTGCGTGAAAGTGACGATTTTTTCTTTATTTGGTCAAGGTGACTGTAGCACTCAGACGAAGTAGAAGAGACTGTACTGTACATAGAACACAAGAACACGAAGGCTGTACATAGCTAGTATATATATATATATATATATATATACGAGTATACGTATAGCTGTCACGGCTATAAATATAGGAAATTATACTGACCTAAACCGAAGGGCAACAAATGGTTCACATTCTTTAATATCCCCATCTCATCTATGAACCTCTCCGGCTTGAACTCCTTTGGATTCTCCCATAATTCTGGATCGAAGTGCAAATCACCCAGAGATATGAGTACGGTTGTCTCTTTCGGTATCATATAGCCATCTACCACGGTGTCTTCTAGAACCCTTCTAGGTCCCGCTATAGGTACTATGGTATAATATCTCTGCACCTCCAATAGGAATGCTGATGTATATATAAGTCTGAAAATATTTAGAACAAATTAATAACATGGATTTAAAAATCCAGTACTCTGAATGTTTTTTTAATTGTCTATTTTGAAACATAAAAAATCTAAGTTGATTAAACATAGAACCCCGCACTAGACGAACTTGTATAATAAATAAATAACAAATAAGTTAAGTTAACTAAAGCTTGTGTTATGAGTACTAGAGAACTGATACATATACCTAGATATTTTTTTTTGTAAATACATACATCTGATACATAGAAAACACCCAGACCGATACAAACAATCATACACATCAATCCAAATAATCATCATCAATACAAATGTTTGTGCCGTGCGAGGAATCGAACCCGCGACCATCGGTCGTATAGCAGTGTGCTAGACCGCTAGACCACCGAGGTCGTCATAAAGTACGGACGACCTGATGTTAAACGTATGTTTAATTTATCAACATATTATTATTTTTTTGCAATTACAGAATTTATTAGACATACAATTATGTATATGAACCTATATGTTCATTGAACAGATTTGTCATATCATAAGAGCCTACAATAGACCTACACGAATGAAGAAATTTAGTTTTAGTATTTTTGATTTCAGAAAAACATTCCAAATATTGTATTGTTATTCTTATTATTTTGTTTAATTCCACTATCAACATCATGTATTTTTTTTATATTTTTACGGCTCTGGATACTAGTACTTTTTAGCCCGACTTAACAAGTATACTAACTCGTAGTTTTACAGCAAACATTACAAAAAATAAAGTAAATGTCCCACATAACTAACATAGAATATTCTAATTAACATAGAACTGTTTCGCGTTATTTATAGTCTTTCATTTCATGCTGGCGAATTAACTATTATGCAGCGACATCGTTGCCTACTTACGACGTTGAGAATAGAATAGAATAGAAAATCATTTATTGAAATAAACTTAATTTAAGCACTTTTGAATAGTCATCACAATTTTTTTTATCTACCGCTCGTTCGGAAAGCTGTCTCACCACAAGACGAACGAGTAAGAAACTTGTGTGTTGCTCTTTTAAATAATCCTTGTAAGGTTACGTTTACAAGTCAAAACGTATCAATACAAACTACCAACCAGTACTCATTTATTAGGGTCAAATATAAATATACAATAAGATTAAATCAATCGCAGTGATAAGATCAGACCAGAGAAGAAAAAATAACAAGCCTGTCATTCGAGACCGTATTGCTTACTTGTATATATCTGTTGTAAATATTTCGTCAATCTACATATTGTAAATAGACACTGGACTCATCATTACACATCTTCCTTTCCTGCTGCTGTTGCTATAAAGAACACTCAATCGGAAATAATAGCGGTCCCAACATAGCCGCTAAACATGTATGAGAGACCACAAATATTCACAGCGGAAATCTGACCATCGCTACCGGAAGCGATATGACCTTCCGTACCAACGATCAAACTCCAATCGTTATCGGATCTATACTTATTGCTTTTTTAATTATATATCTGTACATAGTATAAAACAAAGTCGCTATCGCTGTCTGTCCGTCCCTATGTATGCTTAAATCTTTAAAACTACGCAACGGATTTTGAATCTGTTTTTTTAATAGATAGAGTGATTCAAGAGGAAGTTTTTTTTATATAATACATATACACTCATGCGAAGCTAAATAAATTCAGATATTACGATTATATTACACTACTGTTAAGGAAACGTCAATGTCAAACTGACAACGAAATGTCAATATTGTTATATGTCAAATTAGAAAATCGAGGTTTGTTTTATGCTTATATCAAAGTATTTTATATATTAATATGTGAAGCAAGACATCGAGATTAACCTTAGAAATGTATAAAGTTTCAATCATTTATCTAAATTAATAATCTTTTTTATTTTTTTGTTTCAGATCATTAGAAAACTTGCAATCGTGATAAGATTGGCGCGTCATTTTGTTTGTATATCCCCGCTTGAACAACAGATAACATCTTATTTTTATATTTATTGTCATTTTTTTATATAATTTGTATTCTTAAAACATTAATAAACGTCTGTTAAGAAATGGATAGTAAAAATATCTTTTGATTTTTATTTATAGCACCCGAAAAAACACCTCTAATTCATGGCTTTACACTAGAATAACCCCCTTATAACTATGATTGAATTACGACTACTATGCGGCCACTAGTATACATAAATAACAAACAGATGTAGTTGAAAATTAAAAGTGAAATTGCATTAACAAAATGGCGTCTTCGAGACAAGAATTCTGTCTGTGATAAAGTTGTCGGATGCTTCAAACTTGGCGATATTGTCGAGTGTTGTATAACGAGAGAGATTGCTGTTTCTTAAATATCACACCAGTGCACTTCCAGTACCGTCCGTTCCGTTCCAAGCATTTAACTCGAAACCTACCGCTTCTACTTTAAACTCAATTATTTTCCTTCCACCAACACAATTATGCAACTAAGTGGATGTGGTGTAGTTTGAAAATTTCACAATTCATTACAGCTTTCAATAGGGGCAGTGGAAGTGGCATTGTTTATTAGTAGGAAATGGTATGAGTGTATTATATTGTGTCGAGTCTGAACTAGGCATGTTGCGGTGTTTATTATTTTCCTGTCGTATGAAACGAATAGCCAATAAATACACATTAGCTATTTTTTTCTTATGAAATATTTATAAATAATAATAAATAAATAACATTTTTATTATGAAAATCTCAGTCAATAACCTATGAGTTATCCAAGAACGATGAGAATGTACAATTTTTTTTTTTATTTTATACTACGATGATGGCAAACAAGCATACGGCCCATCTTATCATCATAAACGGTTACCGTAGCCTAAGGACGCCTGAAGCACCAGGGGTGTCACGTGCGCGTTGCTGACCCTTAAGAAACCTTAATATACCCTTCTTGAAAACCCTATGCTGTAGTTTCTCGAGAAAATTTTAACATTAATGTCAAATCAAAACTGCTAATTGACTACTAATGAGGGCCTCGGTAGTCTAACAATTTAGCCGCCTTCTTTCCGATGTTTGTGGGTTTGATTCCTCACACGGTACAAACATTTGTATTCATGAGTATGATTACTTGTTTCGGATTGGGTGCTTTCTATATTATGTATACTAGCTACCTGCCCCGGTTTTGCACGGGTGTACATATACTATACATATAGAACTTCCTGGTGAATCTATCAATTTTTAAAAACTGCATTAAAATCCGTTACGTAGTTTAAATACGTGGAAGTATATAAGTGGTGAGAAAGTTAGAAAAATAAATGTATCTATATATTTATATCAGTTGTTTAGTACCCATAACACAAGCTCTGTGATCTTGTAACTAGATGGCGCTTTGTGAATTTTCTAGGGATTATATTAATTTATAATGACTAAGAACCTACTCTGACTTCACACGATACTATTTTTTTTTATATAAACTAGCGTAATATATATTACATAATCTTAAAACAATTCACACAGCGCCATCTAGACCAAAGTTAAGCTAAAGCTTGTGTTATGGGTACTAGATAATTGATACAAATACTTTTTTAAAAATACATATATATTTATTATACATAAAAACACCCAGACCCACAAAAAATCATACTCATGAATACAAATGTTTGTGCCGTGCGAGGAATCGAGCCCGCGATCATCGGAAGTGAGGCGGTGTGTTAAATCGCTAGACCAGCGAGGCCATCCATCCGCTGAGTGTTATTAAGGTTTATTGTCTAGCAACAAAAAGCCGAAATATTTTCCATTCATAATAGCTGGTATTGTAGTTTCGATATAATATTCTGTTACTTTTGCCGCTACAGACCCAAAACCTTGTTAGCCTGTGGGCGATTGGTAACCAATGCTGTCGGTAGCAATATTGAATATCGCCGTAGTGGTACTACGGCGATCGTACGTACATTTTTAATAGATTCAATAAATTGACGTTATACATGAAAATTCTATTTTAATACTAGCTGATTGGCGCAACTTCGTTTGCGTTTAATTTCCCGATCTTTTTCAATATTTTTCAATGCAGCTCCGCTCCTATTGGTCGTAGCGTAATGTTATATAGCTTAAAGAGGAATCGAGTAAGCGATAAATGGACTATCAAACACAAAAATAATTTTTCAATTAGAACCAGTAGTTCCTGAGATTAGCGCGTTCAAACAAACAAACTATTCAGCTTTATAATATTGGAACAAATTCACAACTTCACGATATCTACCTTGCATTTTAGAATATAGTAAACTAAATAAAATTATTACAAACGGTAAAGTCGGTACGTTAGTATATTTGTTACACTTTCATGTCTTAAGCGTAAGCAGTTATCATAGGATTTGGTATATATATAACAGTTGGGATGGACAGACGGCACGCATTAATTTTTACCGCTTTTAATTAAGTTAAAAATAAAATCGCAGGTAAAGCCAGGTCACAAAAATAATATCTCTGGATAATTGCCAGCGCCATCTATTACCAAACCAAGCTAAGTTTGTGGGTACTAGACAACTGATATAAATACTTAGATAGAATCTTTTTTGTAATACACATAATTTACACCTACCCAGATGTAAATAATACTCATGAAAATAAATATTTGTACCGTGCGAGGCATCGAACCTGCAATCATCGAAAGTAAAGCAGTGTGCTTAACCGCTAGACCACGGAGGCTGTCAATAGAATTTCAGTAAATTAAACGAGTACTAAAGTATAAATGTTTTTATCCTAATTAATCAAAATCAGTCTCCTTAAATCTAGAGAAGTCTGAATCAGGGATGTTAGGTAGCTCCGTAACCGTAACCGAAACTATCGGATATCCGATATAAAAAAATATTCGTAACCGTAACCGAATCCGAAATAAGAGTTTCGGATAATATCCGATAGGGGTGAAGCCTAATAGAGACACGATATGTAACCATTTTATGAGCTAATTGTATTATAGTTTTGACATTCCTTAAAAAATTAATATCCGTAACCGAAATTATACGAAACTAACGGATAATCTGAAATAATTTCATAGCGTATCCGGTATAATAATCATTCCTATATCCGAAACCTATCCGTGACCGAAATTTCATATCCATAACATCCCTGCTCTGAATATAAGTGTTCTTAAAGACACAGGTAGCTAGGTACCTAATACTTTAATAATTACTTTAAAACTTGTTATTTATCTACATCTGTTATTGTAGACTATATTAATAAATCAAAAGAAAATTAAGTACAAGAATGCTATCCAGATGTGTTACAAGAACAAAGCCTCTCAAGTAAGAGCCCAAACGATTTTCGTCTATAAATATGTCCATTAGACCAGTCGTTACCAACCGGTAGCCCGCGAGTTCCAAATGTCTACTAGCTACTCACCCCGACATCGCACGGGCGTACATGTGTTATATATATAAACATTCCTCTAGAATCACTGTATCTATTAAAAAAACCGCTTCAAAATCCGTTGCGTAGTTTTAAAGATTTAAGCATATATAGCGACGGACAAACAGCTACAGCGACTATATTTTATATTATATAATGATTTCGTATCACGTTGTTTGCCCGCGATGGACCCCTAAACTAGTGAATTGATTGCAAATTTGATTTGCATATTGTGTGCAGTTTGATCCAATTTGAAAGATAGGATAGCGTACACCTCAATTTATAGTCGCAATATTATTTTATTCAAGAACGTTAGCCAAGCAACGTGTGGCCGGGTCGATTAGTAGTTTATAAGTTATTTAATATGAATGATATTTTATCGAATTATATAAACATCGTATATTATGACCCTTACGATCGATCGTCCATTATATTTAAACGGGGATCGAAATTACGACGGCCTGAGCCGAGGTTTGAACCCCTAGCGGTACCCTCAGACTAAGATCGCATCCGTCAGGCGGGAGTAATATAAGTTCTCCATAAGTTCTGCGTGTTTGGAATGACATTTCACTCGCCCCCTATCATCCGGTGAAGCTATAAAGGCCAGTTGCGGCCAACAGCACACAGGTCGATACCTGTGTATTACTAAGCCACTTAGCTTGAGGCGAGACTTCGCATCGCTTTGTGTGTTTTACCGAATTTACAACAGACTGTGTTCTGAAGAATTGTTTGACATGATGCCTACGGCTACTTTTTGCCATCGCACAGCTCGCCATCAACAGGGAATTCATCCCCCACAGGCTGGGACCTAAGTGGTCTCGGATAGTGCGGTTTCAGAGCAGCTTCCTCTCGCGTACACTTAGAATATGGAATGAACTACCTGGCGAGGTTTTTTCGAGAGACTAAAGCATAAGGTTTTTCAAGAAGGGTATATTAAGGTTTCTTAAGGGTCGGCAACGCGCATGTGACACCGATCACCGTTTACTATCATCACTTGTTTGCCACTTAAATGGTATAAAAAAAAACAGCGTTAGAGTGGTTCGAAAAAAGACTAGCATGATTTGAGGTCAGTTCTTCAGATATTTTTTTACTTTAGATTAAGTTTCTGTCATAGATTATTTTTTTTTTAATTTTTAGAATATGTTCACATTTTTTGGTCTGAGAAGGATTGGGTGAAGATGCAGTACGCATTGGATGAAGGTAAGCCGATTACTTATTATTTTTTTCATTTCACATTTTTCAATGGACATATTACACATAAGAACTATACAGATATTATTGAAAAATATTAAAAATAGTACGGAGATATATCTTTTTTTTTTAATACGTCACCGTTAATATTTCCCGAAAATGCGAGAAGATGGAAGATTGAGTATGATTTTATAGAACATGTTTTTAAATTTAAGCCAACATAGTGACTATAGAAATATCAGGTAAATACTAAAAAGTGCTAATCTTGTAAATATTTTTTATTAATTTTAACTACGCCTATGAATGGCCTGGTATATATATTTTTTATCTTAATAAATATATGGCGACTGCAAAAAACGAAGTCGAGGTTTCCTCTAGAGTCTACAGCGTGGAGTTTTTCAAGAAGGATATATGTATTAATAGATAGGATAGGCAACTCGCACGTGACGCCTCTGGTTTTAGGCGTCCATAGGCTACGGTAACAATTTACCAACAAACTGGTTTTATATAAACACCGTTTGAGGAAAGCTAGTTATTTATTTTATTGGATTTGCGTAAGGTTATACAACAAACTGCCAGTCTGTTCTCAATCTGACGATAGGTCTTAAGCTAAATCGCCACCATACTAGTATAGAAACAGGCGAACATATACAGTAGTTAAAAAAGCACTTATTGTATCAATTACCTGGAATTATCAGTCCAACATGGTGTCTGATCCCCTATTACATTTGTAATTTCGTCAAATATTTTCTCTTGAATAGACTGATTCCTCAAGGCTGTTAATAAAGCAAATTCAAGTACATTACTAGTTGTCTGGGATCCTGCTATGAGCAGATCAAGGCAGATCGTCTTCAATTGTTCCTCTGGAATAAACAATGAATGTCATTATAAATATTCAACTAAAATATATCGAAACCATGTTAAAATATTCCGTGGAAATAGATTTAGTCTATAGTTTTAATTACTTCATAGAATTTTATATTTAGTGATGATTAGGCGTTAAATTTATATATTGGATGGGTGTTATATTCTGCATTATGTAGAGGTGTTTTTAGATTTATATTGTTGCCGTATTGTAAGTATCATCACTTACTGTCAGTTTGTATGTCATTTAAGTTACGTAAAAATAGAAAATTTTAAAGTACTTGAGCATACTTGTATGACAAAACTATTGTATACTGAAGTACAGTTCACAAAAACTACCAAAATCCCGTTTACCACAAGGGGTGTCGATAGGTGTCCACATTTCAGATTTAAACTAGTACTAATCTTGGAAATAAAGCTTTTTTTTCGGACTACTCTAATGCTGTTGGCCGCAGCTGGCCTACAGCTGCACCGGATGAAAGGGGCTAGTGCAGACGGCACTTCAAACCAAAGGAAGGACTTATGGAGCGGCTGGAGGCCAACTCCCGCCTGACGGATACGACTTTCGTCTGAGGGCACCGCTAGGGGTTCGAACCTCAACTCAGGCCGTCGTAATATCGATCTCCGTTTGAATTGGGCGGGGGATCGATCGGAAGGATATGAAGCATAATAACGATTCTCTACCTGTATATCTAAAAATGTATTTGTACTTACCAGTATATGTATGTTTGTTTTTATACATTTCCTGTAGAAATGAATATATAAAATCCTCGCCATCAACTCCATTGCATTTATGTTTATTTATTGCTTCCTGTGAGAAATGCAGATTAAATACAATTGTTAAATATTGAAATACGAAACATACATATCACTGTGTAACAGACACTGCCGTCATATAAAAAAATTATAAACAAAATTCTTTGTGAGTAATATTTTGACGGAAGTTTGGTAAATATACCTATAAAAAAATAGAAACTTGATAAAATATAAAAGTTTCTGCTGAAAAGCTGCACTTTCTTAATAAGATGAAAAAAGAAAATAGATCCGGAGAATTGTTAAGCGGGTCTGAGTAATAAAATTAACCGAGTAATTTCGAAATATGCTTTTAATAATGGTTAAGAAATAATTCCCAAAATACTCTTTTTAGAAGATAGAAAAAAAAGAAAGAAAGATAGATAGAAAGATAGAAAAAAGATAGAAATATAGATAGATCATAGAAAATAATAAGAAATAAGATAAATATCTTATTTCTGTTTATTTTCTATGTGTGTATATGTGTTATACAATAAAGAATATGAATTTAAAACCATTCTACAATATCTCCTAATAGAAGATCACAAACTTTCTTTGCGTATGTTTTATGAATTATCAGCTGTAAATTCAACAGTATAAAGTTCAATAACTCTGATAATTTATTTTTAATTATATTAGACGGTCTCTATGGTCTAGCGGTATAGCACATCGCCTTTCTTCCGATGGATCGATTCCTCGGACGGTATCAACATACGAATATACAAATATTCGTATGTTGGTGCCGGCAGGAATCGAGGTACTCCTGGGGTTCGTTAACCTCAGGAGTATGATTATTTGTATCGCTCTGGGTATTTTCTACTTATATTCATAAAAAAACTAGCTAACTCAGCAAACGTTGTTTTGCCATATAATTTAAAATCGCTATTAAAAAATAGGGGTTGATGCTGGAAAGGTGCAAATTTAGGGTTGTATGTAATATTCAATTCTAAATAATAATAAAAAGAATATAAAATATTATGCCGAAAAATAAAAAAAATATTAAAAATAGGGGTTGGTGATAGAAGGGTGAAATTTAGGTGAAAATTTTCCCAAAAAAAAACAATGTTAGGGGTGGATATCACTTACCATTTAGGGGTATGAAAAATAGATAGTAACCCATTCTCAGACCTACTGAATATATATATAAAAATTTATAAAAATCGATCAAACTGTTTGAGAGGTGTATGGTAGCTAACATTGCGACACAAAAATTTTATATATAAGATTACACACTCTTATGATATGTCAAATCTACCATCAGTTCGGAGTGAGACATAAAGGAAAGTACTATTTTTTTTAAGAATTGACTACCCCATTATTATAAAATCAACCCTTAATATTGTGAAGCACGATGAGGGTTTCCAAGCAGTAAGGCTCTTTAACTCTTTGCTCCACAGTTTAATGACAATACACAATTTGAAACTTTTTAAGAGCAGGTTGCGTTCTCTTCTGTTGGAACAGTCTTTTTATAGTGTTGATGAATTTATTAGTAGTAAAATTTTATAATTTCAAACACAATGCAAATTGTTATTGAATAAATCTTATATATAAAATTCTCGTGTCACAGTTTTCGTTCCCATACTCCTCCGAAACGGCTTGACCGATTCTCATGAAATTTTGTGAGCGTATTGAGTAGGTCTGAGAATCGGCCAATATCTATTTTTCATCGCCCTAAATGTTAGAGGTAGTCCACCCCTAAATTTTTTTTTTAATTTAAGGAAAACCAACGTTTGCCGGTACAGCTAGTAACAATATATTTAATTGTTACTGTAATATCTTAACTGTTCATTCGATTCCTTGCACGATGCAAACATTCATATTAATGAATATCATTGTTTGTATCGGACTGGGAGTTTTCACACCACCCCTAACTAACCACCCCTAATTTTTTTATTTTATTTTAAGGCATTACAACATTTGCCGGGACAGCTAGTATATATATAATAATATCTTTACGACTATAATTACAAATTGGGTCATCAAGGCTTTATTAAAGTCTGGCATATCGGCAGTAATTGACATAGACTTGTATATATATTTTCTTATATGTTTGTGTATCAATTCCACCTCGAAATAATTCGGTTCATTATCATTAGAGGAGAAAGAAGAAATATTATTTGACCCAGAAAGATTTCTGGCGTCATGTGTACCAGAATAACTCACGACTTTGATTGTAAGTAATCGTATACCACTTGGTAATAACGCTCTCAATAAATAAATAGAAATGGTTACTTGAAAAAAAAATGTAAATTGTTATATGTGTTGTGCCCTTGATAGCAACTCTATAGTGGTATAAGTTCTACATGATAGTTTTTAATTGTAAACTAAGTATAATCGTAAAAAAATAAGTGTACTTATTCGCCAACAAACTGTCAAGCTGTTTGGCGATTATTGTAAAAAAATTAACGTGTAAATCTAATAAATAAATAAAAAAAAATTAAATATAAGTCTCAAGTTAAGAAGAACTTGAGTTATAGGTACTAGACAACTGATATAAGTACATACTTTAAGTATATTATGTACCTATATATTTTATTTTGTAAATACATATATAATATACTTAAAGACGTAGACAAACAATACTCATGTATACAAATGTCTGTACCGTGAGGGAAATCAAACCCCGGACTATTACAACTAAAACTTATACTACAACGCTGAACCACCAAGGCTTTCAAATATAATGAATATAAATTAGAAATTGAAATTTATACTCGTATTTTACCTAATGATTCTATATCATAAGGATATTGAAGTGCCTCTTTAAAATCGATGGAACATAATGATGTTATTAACTTGTCTAGACATGGTATTCCAATAATAACACTTAATAAGGAGTTCGTTGCTAAGAATATCGTAGCTTAGTTAGGTATAATATTTACCTCGATTATAGCGGATATTTCTTGGTTCAATTTGTTAATGAGTGAATATCCGCTTAGGTCGGGGAAAAAGAATCTACACCAAGGCATTTGCATCAACCAGCTACCAGCCATCGAGAATGCTTTTGATCTCGCGTGAAAAAGATCTATCATAGTCTTCAATCGGTCTTCCTTTATAGTTTCTCCTGCAAAAGAAAACATTTTTTTTATAAAATTGAGAGGACAAACGAGTCGTAGCTCGTAAGCTCGTAGCTTCGCTAATAGAAAGTTAACTAAAATACCATCCTGATCATCTAGATGAATAGTGATGCTTCACCGTTTTTCTAGAAATTTTTCGCCGTGTACAAAACTACCACATTTTGGAATCACATTCCAGCAATAGTACTTCCGAACTCGTACGATATTCAAAACTTTAAGGAATGGCTTATTCCTTCTTAAAACTCCGGTAATACACTTGCTATTCTTCTGGTGTTGCGGATGCTCATAGGCGGCGGTAATCAGTCACCATCAGATGAGCCGCAAGCTCTGTCACTATGCTATTAAAAAATGATCGTTGCCACTACTACAATATTATATAAAAATAGTTATTGCTGGCAGCTCCATTATTTTTATAAATATTAATATTGTGACACCCTTTTTTAAATCACTTTTTGACGACCTCGGTGGTCTAGCGGTCTAGCACACGCTTTCCGTCCGATGATCGCGGGTTCGATTCCTCGCACGGCACAAACATTTGTAGTCATGAGTATGATTGTTTGTATCGGTCTGGGTATTTTCTATGTATAATATGTATGTATATACAAAAAAAAATTATCTGTGTATTTGTATCAGTTGTCTAGGACCCATAACACAAGCTTTAGCTAGCTTAACTTGGGTCTAGATGGCGCTGTGTGAATTGTCCTGAGATTATTATTATTACTTTTGAGTTACGTTGCGAGCCATTTAGAGAAATATACATATGTATTATAATTATTTCTGTTTAATAATCGTATACTCATCCCACTCTAGCACAATTGTTATTTCCAATTATATAATATTTGTTGACAGTATAATTCTTGTTTCATAAATAATATAATTTGTACATTTTTCTAGAATGCGTCAGATTAAATCTCGACTTTTCTAACTTTAATGTAATATCCTCCGATCGATTCCACGTCCATTTCAAACGAGGATGGAAATTACGGCGGCCTAAGCCGAAGTTCGAACCCCTAGAGGTGGCCTCAGACTAAAGTCGTATCCGTCAAGCGAGAGTTAGCCTTAAGCCACTCCATAAGTCCTTGGTTTGGTTTGGAGTGCCATCTGCACGCCTCCTATAGTCCGGTGAAGCTATAAAAGCTAGCCGCGACCAACAGTATTAGAGTAGTCCGTAAATGAAATTTATTTTAATATTTTCTATAATACAATATTATTATTTATTATTTTGAGCTTGATACCATATAGCGTTCTCAAATGCTATTATATCTGTCTCCGAAATTTGTATATTATATAATTTGCGCTGAAACTAAGTTTAAATCTATTATAATATTTTAATTTCGTCGTTCTAACTGAAGCGGAAACACAACGACTATTTTATTGAAAATCAGAATAGTAGTGATCAATGTGTATATAAAAAGCAGATATCAAAAATACATTATAAAATGTCCTTATGTTACAATTAAGTATTAATAGCGATAATTATTTTATAAACGGCAACACCAAGAAGCAGATATCAAAAATGTGAAGAAATTGTGATATTTGTAAATTTATGTTTTGAATAAGTTCGTTAGAACAGAGAAACAACAATTGACATCTATTATAATATTGTGATGACAGGAGCGGTGGTGAGAGTAAACACACACAGCAGGGTGTAACTTGTATATTTAACTGTTACATCTTGAATACTCTAGCTTACACTAATTACATAAACTATATATATGAGGTACTGCGTGACCTACGTGTCGTTATACAAAACGTACACTCGCACAATCTTTTACTGAACGTGCTGATTTGCATCACTATACCACACCTCCCCTGAAAAGTAGGGTGTCTATGGTGAGGGTGTCCCCTCCCTCTGAAAGTTTAACATTACAAGGACAATTTTATTATTTAAACATACAAAAAGACAAAAAAAAACAGCACTAAGGATTAATTTAACTCAACAATTTCTCAAGGTATATCATACCTGAGTACAAAAAAAATACAAACTTTTATAATTACATTGTATTGTTAATACATATTTGTCATCATCTAACAGATCTTGTTTTCTACTAAACAAGTAGTAACCAAAAATTAAAATTAGGCCTTTTACTCTATAACAATTTTAAGAAATTTTATGCTTTACATTATTGGCCAATGTGACAATGCTCACTTCATTATCTGTACTTATTGACTTACTATACTTATCTATACATTTTACAGTATACCTACATAATCGTAAAAACTCATCATACTTCTGTATATACCGACAGAACTTATTAACTTGAGACTTATTGTACATATTTTTAATAATTATAACTTCCATAATATTATGATCCTTGCATATCTCTACAAGTTCTCTTAATGATTTATCTACGCCCACCTTTGTTAATAGAGACGTTTGATTTAAATATATTATAGATCCGGATAGAACTACATTGCACGTATTATCATGCATATTATGCATACCTAACACTTTTCCTAATGTCTCCTTATTACAAATATTTAATTTCACACGAAACTGTGATTTTCTAGTAATTCCTGCCATCTTTGATGGACTAGATTTTACTTTAACTTGAGAACATTTATTAATTTTCTTAATTGGACCTTGCGTAATAACGCCTGGACAGCATGAGTTTAATTTTTTTAACTCATCGGACGTTACAGTTATTTTCGATAATTCGTCCGCTGTTCTATTTTTCAAACAATTTACATTTTTCTCCATATAGTCAGTTTTCCTTTTATTAGGAAAAGTAACATATTTTATACCATTTTCTCTTTTTTGAAAAGGTATATGGACCCTATCAAGTGATCCGTGGGGCTTTACACTTAAACAGCCCAATTCAAAATTTATAATACCTTTAAATTGTATTAAAAAATCTTCTCCTAATATACCATGGGAACTGCACTGTAATTCTTTAAATACATAAAACTTTTGTCTAAATTGCAGTTTCTGAAATTCAAGATTCAGGTAAACAAATCCCATTGCCTCTAGATTACCACATACGCCTTTTATTATAGCGTTATCTTTATGAATCTTAATTGAAGGCAAATTTTTTAACCAATCATACTTTAAAACTGACATTGATGCTCCTGAGTCTGCTATCAAAAATATATCATTATTAAAACAATTAAATTTAACTACATTATTTGTGTTAAAAGCTAAAATTTCGGTATTCTTATTTTCATGAACAAAATCTAACGATGTCTTTCTATCGCTATTCCTACTATCAGCTGACGCTTTGACGTAATTCATATGCTTACTATAACAAACTGCGCGACCTTCTTTACTATGCATTTTTGTATTTTGCTGACTTCGCGCCTTAGTATTATTACGCTTCGCTTGACATTGATTTGTTCTGCGATCAAATTCTCGTGCGTCATAATTTATTTTATTTATTAAACACGTTTGGAAGTTCTTAGGAATGAATTCCTCCTCTTCTTAATCACTACAACATTTGTAGACCGCTAGCACCCTTTTATTCAATCTTCATACTTCCATCTATGGATGCTTCAATCAATTTTAGGCACAGGTATGCGGTGAACCTCAATTTGAGGATATTGGACACCGATGGCCTAGGAACATTAATTTCCACCGTATAATATATTGAGGGTAAATAATTTATACCTCTTTGCTGCCCGAAGATCTTCAGAGTATAGTCTGATCTTGATCCATTTATGCAGCTTCTTTGTCACGGTCGCCATGTGATGACAGGAGCGGTGGTGAGAGTAAACACACACAGCAGGGTGTAACTTGTATATTTAACTGTTACATCTTGAATACTCTAGCTTACACTAATTACATAAACTATATATATGAGGTACTGCGTGACCTACGTGTCGTTATACAAAACGTACACTCGCACAATCTTTTACTGAACGTGCTGATTTGCATCACTATACCACAATATATTATTTGACAGTGGACATTGACTTTAATTTTTGTAATTTATTTTGTAAAACTTTATGTTGGACTAAAAAGGTAAAAGTATCTAGAGCCGTAAAATATTAATAAATAAAAAAAAGATATCAAAGTGCAAAGTTTATAAAAAGAACGGTAGACAACAAGTCTAGCAACAGTCCTATTGATACAATTAAGTATTAATAGAGATAATTATTGTATACACGGCAAAGGCAACGACGTAATAACTACACTGTGACTTCCATATTACCTGACATGCCTTGCAATTTCTGTGGACTAACATGTCAGGCCTGTGTGCCCTGTAATTTCACAGCGGAACACAGCTTAGTGGTAAGCGGCAGAATTAGGTTAGAAAGCAACACATACACCTGAATTTGTATATACGAGAGCCCGTCCAGTTAGCGACTCAATATATGTAATAAAATTGTAGAAGTGGAATGTCTGTATATAGAAAGGCCAAAAGTCAGGGTGTTGGAAGTGATATAGAAGACTTTTATTTTTTGTCTGTTTGTACGAGCTGATCTTGTAAACTGTTAGACCAATTTAAATTAAATTCTACATGGTAGTAGGTTACATCCACGGTTATTATTTTAGGTACTTTTATTGACGGAAAATTAAAGAGTTCCCATGGGATACTCAAAAATCTATTCTAACTTATACAGTTTAGAATATAACCTATTTAAGTTAAATCATTTTGACCTAAGGCAAAGTGAGAACCAGTCGTCATTTTTTTAATTTTGGTGCAGTATTTTCAGACATAATAAATAATCAGCTACATACCTACATCAATACATACTAAAATATAAATACTTACAAATATACTTAAAATGTCAACCCTACATTCTGGCTTTTCCAAGTCGAATAAAAAAACGGAATATTACAATTGTAAAAATGATTATAATAAGATCCCTAAATGAAATATTATTTAGTTGAAACATGCTAACGGAAGGCTTCAGGGACTCTGCGTAACTACACTACATTCTTTAAAAAAACATAGATGGCGCTAATTATTATTGAAACTCGCTAACATAAGAGTTCTCTGTGAAAGCAAATGCAACTTTTTACTATATTTTTAATTTTAATTATCAA